ACAGCCACTCTTGTGCCTTTCCAGTTCCAGGAGGTTCTTGGGTAGCAGGCCTCATTCAATTGTTGCATCATTGGCCTGTCCTGTCTTCCTCCAGCTCTCCATCACAGTTCACAGGAAGTATCCGTTATTAAAGTTCATGTAAGATCTTTGTATTTCATCCATCTTGTACTTGACATTCAATTTAGGCTGCAGTGTGACAGCTTTTGCAAAGAATTTTTTGGAAAATGATTCTGTTGGTAGCATATTGAAATATTTTAAGGTAGGACAGAGAATTCTCTCTTTCTCTTTCTCTCTCTCTCCTAAAAGTATGTTAAAAATCAAGTAATTTGGAGCTCAGGAGATAGCTCAGTGCATAACACATTTGCTATACAAGCATAAAAAAAAAGATTTTGGATTCTCAGGGCCCAGATCCATTCAGCAAGTAAATCAGCCAGCTGTGTCTACGTAGCATGTACTCATGTACTCAGCACAAAAATATGTTGTCTTATTTTAAATCCTTTTTTAAAAAAGATTTTATTTATTTATTATGTATACAACATTCTGTTTCCATGTATATCTGCACACCAGAAGAGGGCACCAGATCTCTTAACGGATGGTTGTGAGCCACCATGTGGTTGCTGGGAATTGAACTCAGGACCTCTGGAAGAGCAGTCAGTGCTCTTAACCCCTGAACCCCCCGAGCCATCTCTCTAGCCCCTTAATTTAAATCCTTATAAAGTATATAATATTTTCATTTTATAAAAGTTGAAAAATAATGCAAAAGTGATTGAGCCCCTGCCCAGAAGTTAGAGAGTTACTGGGTACTCCTAGCTCATTGTTTGAATTGTGACAATGTTAGGTAAGGAAAACTCATGGTAGCATATTTTTATTGCTTAAAAGGTTTGAAATATTTCACATTTTTCTGCTATATGAACATTTTTAGCACCCATTCCTTACTAAGGTCTCTTTTAAAATCTCAAAGATTAAGTCTTAAAATGCAGCTATTACTTGTGCACAAAATCAAGAATGGCTTAATTGCAATGAGGAAATTGAAGTTGTGGGAAATTTTATTTGTTAGGTGTAATCAGAAATAAACACGCATTTGATACATTTGCTTTGTGTTGTTTTGTTGGTAAAGGGAAGTCTGAATGTTTATGGGTCCATTTACAAGCCAGTGAATGCTTAGTGTAGGATAAAGTCTAATTGTTTATTAGAATAACACTAAGCCAGTGTTCTCTAAATTCGAATTTATCAGAAGTAATCAGTTACTTTAGGAATATATCTTTGTAGTGATGGTGATGTGCCACACGTTAAATCTCATTCAGATAGAGCTTCCACTTGGAGAACTCATCCCCAGTGCTAACCAGGGTGTGCCTGTGGGTGAGGAGTCATCTTCCCCTCCATAATGAGTTTGAAGCCAGTGAGGAGTGTATGAGTCTGTCTTAATAGATACCTAAGTAAAAGCTAAAACCTAACATTTCCTTGACCATCTCCCTTAATCCCAGGATTCTCATAATAACAGTTAATAGTTTGTTATTGCACACTGGTTTCTGTGCACTCCATTTATGTATCTTAACAACATACACAGTGTTTTGTATTCCTCCACAAAAGGTTTCATGCTATAATTTTATTTTTCTACGTAGTCACTTTGTACTTCTCTAAATTGCTACTCATTTTCTGATTTGAGCTATTTTTATATTTTAATACATTTTTCTCTTGATAATTTTAGACTTATAAATCAAATTCCAGAGTAATTGTTTAAGGACCTCCTATACAGTATTTACTTGTATTTACCAAGTGTTTGCTATTCTTACTTTACCACTCTGAAGTTTCTACTTATGCATATTATTTTCAGGGCTGTGTAAGTATAAATTAGAAGCATTTTGTCTTCACTTCTAATTATTTAGGATCATATATTCTGGCCACAGTATAAAAATCAGAAAGTTTAACTGTGATAAAAATGCATTTATCTGCCTTAGTCTATAAATTTCATCAGTTGTCGGATGTCCAATAAAGCCGTTGATGATTCTTCCTTCCCTGCTCCAGGGTACTAATTAGGACAGGTGTTTCATTCATTTGGCTCTTTTTGGGGACAGGGAGTGCTGGGAATTGAGCCTAGGGCCTCATGTATGTGTGGTAGGTACTCCACTGCCAAGCTACATCTCTTGCCTCTAGTTCTCACTGTAATAGAAATTAATCTTGAAACAACGTTGTTGTTGTTGTTGTTGTTGTGTGTGTGTGTGTGTGTGTGTCTGCACTTGTGTACACATTCCATGTTTGTTCCTTGATCTATATATTTTCTTCTTCAGAATAGCCTTCCACTTGGGTTTTCCAGATTAGATTAGATTAATCCAGGTTACATATTTTGAAAGAAATACCACAGAAATGGTAATGTGTTCTCAGAACTTTGGATCTGGAATTAATTGGTGTTCATAATAGTTTCTGTTAGGTTTCTCCCATCAGTTATTTTCGTCTATAATTCAGAAGTCATTTGTTAGGACTAATTTTGAGGGTGGTAAAATACGTATTTCTCATTAATTTAAAAAATTTCATTTTAAGATTTTCGTGTGTGTGTGTGTGTGTGTGTGTGTGTGTGTGTGTGTGTGTGTATTTGTGCACTTGAGTGCTGTCCCTATGGAGGTCAGTGGAGGCTGCCAGATCCCCAGGAACTGAAGTTATAGGCTGTTCTGAGCTGCTCGATGTAGGTGCTGGAAACCCAAATTGCAAAACCAGTGTATTAATCAGTGTTCTCTAAAATATTGATGTATGTGTGAATTCGTTAAGAGTGGCTTACAGGGTGTGATCCAGGTAGTTCAGTAGTAACTGTCTCCCAGTTGGTTGTTCTGTTCATGAGACTGGGTGTCTCAGCAGCCCCAATCTGGTGCTGGGGTCCTGAAGGTTCTATGGAGCTGCTGTCTTCAGCTCACCTTGGAATCCCCAAGAAGTAGGTTCTGATGCCAGCGGAGGAATGCCTAAGAACCAGGGTAGATGGACTTGCCATCAAGACGGAAGGCAAACAGGCAAAAAGCAAAAGCTTCCTTCTTCTATGCCTTAGATGCAGGCCGTCATCAGCAGGTGTGACACAGATTTAGGGTAGATCACCCCACTTCAAATGATCCAAACAAGAAAATCCCCACAGTCAGGCCAGCTGCTTGGGTTTTAGTTGATTCCAGATGGCGTCAAGTTGACAACCAAGATGAGCCATTAGAAGCAGTTGTGCTCTTAACTAACCACTGAACTCTCTCTCTCTCTATTCCTGCCCCATTATCTTTGACCTTTGAGTTTGTTCTTCTATTTCCAGCCTGATATGTTGAAAGCTTAGTTTGTTTACTGTAGCCCCTTATGTTTTCTAAAGCACTTAAGGTTATAAACCTTTCTTCAAAAAACCAAAAAACCCCAAACTTAACTTCATTATTGGTGGTGGTAGGGTGCTACAGTGCATGTGTGGAGGTCAGAGAACAGCTTTGTGAGATTCTCTCCTTACACCTTCACATGGGTACTGGGGATTGAACTCAGCTTGTCAGACTTGTACAAGCTCCTCTAACCACTGACCCATCTGGCCGTTTCAGCTTTTCTTTAAAAAAAATTAATTACAGTGTGTGTGTGTGTGTGTGTGTGTGTGTGTGTGTGTGTGTGTGTGTGTGTGTGTGCGCGTGTTTGTTTGTGGTTGTGTTTGTGTATGTGAATGCTCCTGTGTGGTAGTCAGAGGACAACTTGTGGAATTTGGTTCTCTCCTTCTACCATGTCTGTCCTAGGGATAAAACTTAGTTTGTCAGACTTGGTAGCAAATGCCCTTACCTGTTGAGCCATCTCACTGGCCTCTGACCTTTGTCAGATATTCCTTTGATAATATATTCCTTTGTCACCTTGTCTAGGAGTGCTTACAATAAGATTTGGCATGAAAGGAAATACTAAGTGTGAACCTTTTTAAATAAACCATCAATTAATAGGAAACTGGCAAGAAAAACTTGGATGGTATTCTAAGGATGTCAAAATCAATCATTAAAAAAAATACTTGTAGAGGCTGGGAGATGGTTTAGTGGGTAGAGTGTTTGCTGTGTAAGCGTGAAGACCGGAGTTCATATCCTCAGCCCTCATTAAAGCTGGTATGGGGCCGAATGTGCCTGTAATCCTGGGAGGATGGAGACAGGTAGGTCCTAGGCCTTTCCTTACCAGACGATATAGTAAATTAGTAAGCTCCAGATTCAGTTAGTCACCCTGTCTCTAAACATAAGGTAGGGAGCCAGGCATAGTGGTGTATGCCTTTGCAAGCATTCAGGAGGATGAGGCAGGTGGATCTCCAGTCTCTAGCCTTGTGGGCATAGAGTTCCAGGCCAGCCAAGATTACATAGTATCCTGACTAAAGAAAACTGAAAACTGAAAGACCCAGAGCATACCTCGTCAATGTCTGGCTTCCACGAGTGCTGCATAAGCAAGTTACCATCAGCCATGCACATAGACAGTGTGCTTTCTCTTACCCCCCCCCCCCCCCCACTTTCCTAAGGAAAAATAAATTGTTTTGGGTAAAGTGCTTGCTACACAAGCTTGGAGACCTGATTTTGGAGCTCTATAGCCAAATGAAAGCCACGCACAGCAGCGAGTGCCTATAACCCGGCACTGGGAGTTGGAAACAGCAGATCTGGGGGCTCGCTGGCTAGTCAGACTAACTGAAAAGCTTGCTACAGGTCCGGGAGAGTACCTGTTTCAAAAATAACAAGGAGACATGATCGAGGAGAGCCATGCTGACATCACCGTCAGGCCTCCATGTGCCTGCACTGGAGAATATTCCCCCAATATACCGTCATACACATATATCCACATTCTCCCACCACCCCATGCAATAAAGCCACTTTCTTAAAAAGAATACTCTTTAAATGGTCATGATTCGCACACTCATGAATATAATGTGTTAGACATTATAGATGTGGCTTATTTCTCTAGTACAATGGGTCCTTGGGGCTTTCTTGTAAATAAATATACAACTGTCTCAGAGCATGTTTGTTTTGACTCTGTCATTTCAGGGGCAGCAGCAGTGGCATGGAATAATCCCCTGTCCAGCTGGTTGAGTGCAATGCTCCATTGCTTTGGTGGAGGAATTTTATCCTGTATAATGCTTGCAGAGCCTCCGTTGAAGTTTCTTACAAACCACACTAATATTTTACTGGCTTCTTCAATCTGGTAAGTTGCCCTTACACTATGAGGTGTTTTAAGAATTCTTTTATAAATTATAGTAAAATAGCTCTTTTTCCTTTTTTTTTTTTGGTTTTTCAAGACAGGGTTTCTCTGTGTAGCTTTGGAGTCTATCCTGACACTTGCTCTGGAGATCAGGCTAGCCTCGAACTCACAGAGATCCACCTGCCTCTACCTCTCAAGGTCTGGGATTAAAGATATGCACCACCACTATACAGTTTAGAGTTTGTTTTTTACTGGGACTGGTGAGATGGCTCAGCGGGTAAAGGAACTTGCCACATAAGCCTGGCAGCCTGAGTTCTAGCCCCAGCACTCACGTGAAGGCAGAAGGAAAATCAGCTACACAAAGTAGTCCTCTTGACTTCCACATGTCCATTGTGGCACACAGGCCCCACCTCCATCATGCACACACAACCCATAATACAAATAATTAAAAATTCATTTATTATAATAGTGTAAAAATGATTAACTACTTATAAACTGGGATATAATAAATAATAGTAGTAATGGTAAAGTAATAGTGGGCTCCTGTGGCTGTGGAAAGTTGGTGGGGTGGAATTATTCACTTGCTAGTAATTATTGAATTGGTATTATATATCAGCTAAAATTCATTTTCATATTTAATCATGAGCCCTGAGCTATTATAATTTTTTCCTGACAAAATCTTTTACTGGTAACATTAAGAGAAAAAAATTACTTAAATACTATGAAATACTATGTTTCATTTCTCTAATCTGTAGCTAAATTATGAATTCATCTATTGCTATTTGAAATATCCAATAAATATGCAAGCTATCCAATCAGGTATGGAATGAATGAGTTCACTTAATTATTCTGCAGGATAACCATCCTCATATGAGCAGGATCCCAAGTTTACTGTGTGTGTTTTTTTTTAAATGCAATATGGTATGTGGAATTAGGATTTTTTATTTTATTTTATTTTATTTATTTTATTTTACAAACCAGTTCTCTCTCAAGCTGGTATCTAAGGTCATGACTATCAGATGAGAAGGAAGAGAATGTACTATTTTAAACTCAAACAGGAAAGTCTTACAGTGACTTTACTGAAAGCTTCTGCTTGCTTTCAGTAAAAACATCACTTTCCCTTTTTTTTTTAATAGTTTATATTTTTCAGCTGTGGAAAGTAGGTGACATGGATTAATTATTTGATAGCTACTATGCACTGAATTAATATTATATATTAAACTATTTTCATACTTACGATGAGTTCTGTGAAGTAGGTATTGTAATTAGGTTTTTAAAGATTTGTTTATTTTATGTGTACGGGCATTTTGCTTGAATGTATGTATGTGCAACATATATATGCCTGGTGCATTGAGCGTCCAGAAAAGGGCACTGGGTACCCTGGAACTAACATAGAGTTGTGAGCTACCTACTATGTGGGTGCTGGAAATTGAACCCAGGTCTTCTGCAAGGGCAGCCACTATTCTTAACTGCTGAGCTGTCTCTTCAGCCCCTTAAAAATTAAAAAAAAATCAGCTTACATTTATCAAGTTTCCTTATGATATTCTCATACATGCTCAGTTTTGGTTGACTCCCCATCCTTCCCAAACTTCCTGGTCCTCCTGCATTATCCTTCAGACCCCAGTATTCCACTTTCTGTTTTTGTATTAAATATGTTCTGCTCACCATCCTACCAGAGTAGCTGTTGTTACTTCTGTTTGACAGCAAGGAAACTCATGGGGCAGTTGATGTGTTGTCATATCTAGGGAGGTGGCAGGGCTAGAATCAGAACAGTGTGACTGTAGAGCCTTCACTCATGACAGCTACAATATCTCATAAACGTACTTAATCATCTCACAATATCACTTTCTAAAAACACCTATAAAGGACTTCCATTTCTGTATCATTTAAAAAAGATACTAAATTTTGGATTTTTAAATGTTGTTTAAATGCTGAAGCTAAATAAGAACCAAGGCAGCCAGATTCTGTACTTCCTATCTCTCCTGTTTCTAGTCTTACATACTGATCCTTCCATGTCTGGGCCTGGACTTTCAGTAATTTCCTACATGGGCTATTTTCTTCTTTTATTACCCCCCCTAAATCTGTTCTTTACGTAATGATGAAGTGATCATCTTAAAATATGTTATAGTATGTCACTTCTGTGTGCAGCAATGAGGAACAAAATCCTGAATTTCCCCATGACCTATCATCCCTATAAAGTCTCCCCTCTGTTCTCTTTGCTCTGTTCCTCATTCTCCATTCTAGTCATACTGAACTTGCTGTTTGCACAATAAGGTACTCTATCTACCTCTGTGACTTTGTTCTTGCTTCCAACCCCAAACAGTTAATGTTATCTTTCATCACAGAAGCCGTCTGTGACTATCATATCATCCTCGACTTTTCTTCTTCTTAGATTCATTAATATTGGAGATATCATCAGTTGGCTTTTAAAAAATGCTGCTTTGTCTCACTTCTAAAAAACATCCTATCAGAGCAGAAACTTCACTTTGTTAACTGTGCCATGAAGTACTGTGCGGACTCAGTAGATATACTTACTAAAGAACGGATTGCTGTGTACTGTGATTTCTGGATTTGAATAGCAAGGAACTACAGATCTTGATTAGTTGACTCAGCAAATGAAATACAATTTCATGCCTAAAATGTATGCCTTTACATTTAAAAGGCATGTTAGAAGCAGAGAATGAAAGAACGTGTTTTTCAGCACATACATATAGGTATGTGGATAGACACTTCTGACTTGCCTGGTTTTTGGTTAGCCCTATGTATACTACTCATAGAAAGGCAGGGCAGTTGCTTGGTTCTTTTACTTGCTGGTCATCCTGCAAAGGTGATCATTTTTTTTTAGAAGGATGTTTTGTGAGATTCTACAGATTTCAATTTTTGTCACTGTTTCAAACTAGTTGTCCCATCTTTGGCCAGTGAGAGACTTTTCAGAGATGCCCCCTGACCCCTAACCCTGGGATTAGCTTTCTTGCCTCTCAGTATTAGAAGATTCTTATAATTTTCTTTCGGAATTAGTCATAGTTTCTTTTAATGAGAAATAGCTTTTCTAAGCCTTACTCAGATTATTAAAGGTGTTGCGAGGGCATCCACGGAACTGAACTAGGGCAAAGAAAAACAATTCATTCATATCGATATGTATTTCTAATTCAAGTTCAATGCTATGAAGTTTTTATTTATCTTGTCTCTGTTACATATGTAATACTTATTTTACCTACATACAAAGAATTATGGTTTTTATTGGACAAAGGATATAACACAATTAGAATATTCTGATACTGCTAATTAGTTTTATTCTGTTCTTTGCTCATATACATTTAATCTTATCTGTAGGGGTCACCCTGACCACGCCTCCTGGGGCTGGCTACCTGGTATACCTGTGATCACCTTTTAGTCTAAATAACTGTAGCCAACCAGGAGGCGTGGTCAGGGTGACCCCTACACTTATCCATCTTTAAAACAAGGGTGTGTTTAACACTGTCATAGTTTCATGGTCATTATTCCAGTCTTCCCTTACTTAGTTGTCATTCAGTCTTACCTTTTGTTCAGTATGTACTTGGTGTACATCACTAGTTCTTATCTCTGGTCTCTAATTTTGGCTCTTTGATGCTGTGATAGATCCTGTGTGGTCAGTACTGTTTTATCCTCAGCCGATCATGAGAGACTAATGACTTGTCCAGGGTATCAGAGATATTGGGTAGCTGGAGCCCGGATTTCATCTTCTAGTTGGTGCATAAGCAGTGAATTGCTTTGAACTCTGGAAATAGGAATGTTGTCCTTACAGTTTCTTAAATATGAAAGTGATGCCGTAATCCAGACAGTATATTTTACTGTTTTAATAATAGAACTTTTAACATTTCAAATAACACTTTTGTCTTTGCTTCTGACTTTAAGAGTCAAATGATTTGTGGAATCACAGCAAGGTCATCTTTAGCACCATAGCTTCTCAGCACACCCATCTCACGTCTGGAGGTTAGCGCCATCTACTGGAAAAGACAAACATGAACTTGGTTCTGCCAGTGTATATCCACTGTCCGAACACAGCATATACTTTCATTAAAGTTTTCTTTAAAGATCTATTAATGGGGGAAATACATACCTTATAATTTTTCTGTGTATTGATTTTATGTCTCAGAATGTTTTCCTTAAACTTGCAAGATACTGTAGTGATATTACATTTAGATGAGGGGATATGTGAGTCATAGTTTTATAGTCATTTTCAAGCCATATCAATGAAATTCCTAATTTGTTGGTGTGCTAACTGCAGAGTAGAGCAGAGCTCTTGCATTAGACTAACATGGCTGTAGTTGGTGTTGTTTGGCTCAGTGAAGTGATACTGCCTTTGATGGGAAAGGAGAATTGATAGTGAAGGAAGTAGTGTTCTTAATGATTAGCCCTCCTCTCTGCTCAGCCTTTGGTTGTAACCCAAATTGTGCTTCCATCTGAGACCTGTTTAAACTGGCTTAGCTTACATTTGTTGGTTGTATCCTATTTTAGACTAACTTCTCTTTGTCATTTTTCTCTTTCCTTTAATCTGGCCTATATGGTTTAAAGGCATTTGAGAAATCCATTTCATCTTCTCATTCTATTCTTTTCTCTTGCCTGTATATTTTTTTTTTAGGTGCTTACAAGGGAAAGTTGGTTTAGATGTTACAAACTTAAGGAGAAATCATAATCTTTATAGAAGAGACTTGGTGCCTGATGAGTGACTGTTGGTCCAGTGGGTCATCAGAGGAACATTGCACAGTGAACTTAGGCTATAGAACAAGGGAGTCATTTGTCTGCTGTGCTGATTTCTAAGTCTGTTGAGCATGACAAAGAGCTGTTCCTTTCACTTCATGGCAACTCAAATGGGCACAGGGTTTTCGTTAATATGAGAGATTGTTGTAGCTGTTTTAGAAAAATAGGGTAAAACTTAGGACTCAGAAATAGCAATAGTTATAAATTATAGACTATATGTTGTAGTGTCATGTAGTTGAAATCCAAAATTACTGTTGTAGTAATAGGTTTTGTAACATATTAAAAATAGAATTAGGGAATGCAAATAACCATTGTAATACAGTTTTTCTTCTTTTGAGTATGCTCTTTTAAAGCATGAATTACTGCTGAAGTAAAAATACAGTGTCTGTTCTTAATCAAATCTCTAATAGATACCAAAGTATTGTTTGCTTTAATTAAGAATATATATACATTTTATTACTTTGGTGTATATGCCTTTTCTGTCCATTGTCTAACTTCCTGTAAATCACTCCTACATTTAAAGACTTTGAAAAGATTATATGTCCATGTCAAATTTGGAAACTATAAAATCTTATCTTAGGTAACATAAAATTGTCACCAGATACTTCATTTTTCTTTCGGACTCTATAATATAAAGTGATTCTTTGATGTGTTTTGTACTTTTCCTCTAGATTTAATGCTAATAAACAACTCAGAGCTGTTTGTCATCATGCTGAGTTTTTGGTTAGAGGACAGCTGATAAGATGCAGGAGTCCTGTCATCCAGACACAGTGTAATCTACTTATGAGCACTATAGCCTTTATTTTATATTGAAAAGAACAATGTAGAAAGAGCAGTTTTGAGGCATAACAAGGAACTGCTTCAGTTGTATAGAGCCATTGCTTGTATGAGCTGGGAGAAATGAAATAGATGCCATCGATATAGTAGTGTTAGAAGGAGGAGGAGGAGGAGGAGGAGGAGGAGGAGAAGGAGGAGGAGGAGGAGGAATTAAAGATGAAGAAGAAGAAATGTGGAGGTGGATCAAACCATTGTTTCTTGTGTTAGGTTTCTGGAGCAGCTTGTTGACAAATATTTCATATTCTGTGAATACTCTTCGGTTTTGAGTTTATGACTCAAGCATTGGAATAAACTTAACTCTTGCTTTGAAAAGAGCCCCAGCACTCTTTCCCTCCATGTGCTCTGTATCACCCCATTAGAAGATCTGATATGTTGTATACACTGAACTGTCTATTAGGAATGGAAGGACAGGCAGCAGAGTTTCGAGTAAATACCACTGATAGTATTTGAGGAGATGCCAAAGAACAAATAAAGTTTAAAACTGTGATTCACCAGAGAATGGGTGAAGTATTCTTAAACTAGCAACAACTTCATTGGCTAAAACAGCTTACTCAGCCAAATTAAAGCCTGAGCTTCATGTTCTTTCAGTTGCATGAAAATACATTTTCCATAACATAAGCCCATTTCCCTGTGAGCTGTCTCTATCTTTGTGCAGATTTCAACTTATGCCCTAACCTGAGAGACAAAGGTCAAGATGTTAATAGGAGTTGAGCTGGGTGGTAGTGGTGCAGGCCTTTAATCCCAGCACTTTTGAGGCAGAGGCAGGCGGATCCCTGTGGATTTGAGGTCAACCTGGTCTATAGAGTGAGTAGGACAACCAGGACAGTTTCACGGAGAAACCCTGTCTTGAAAAACAAAATCAATCAAACAAACAAACAAGCAAACAAAAGATGTTAATAGGAATTGAAATGCAACCTTTTTTCATTTACCAAAAGGCTCCTTTGTCTAATTCCATTTCCCTAAGAACAAAGACACTAAATGGTCATAGCCCATACCTGCTGTAACTGATGATGCATTTGTTCCTTTCTTTAATAAATTATGTACCTATTTGTTCTAAAAATGTATGGGTAAGTTAAGAACTGTATGAAGTATTACAAAGTTCCCTCATCATGACATAGATAGATTATATATGTTTTGTGTGAGTTAAGAAACAACTTAGTGTCCAATCTGCTTCTTTTGAAATCATGTTCCAGGCTTTTATGGATAATTGCACTCTTTGTGTTATGCCATGTTGTTAGTGATGATGGTTTAGATTTCCACTTCTATTCTGATGGTATTATTTACATATTAAAATATTTAAATTTTAATTTCAGGTATATTGTATTTTTTTGCCCTCGTGACCTAGTTTCCCAGGGCTATTCATATCTACCTATTCAACTTCTGGCTGCGGGAATGAAGGAAGTGACCAGAACTTGGAAAATAGTAGGTGGAGTCACACATGCTAATAGCTATTACAGAAATGGCTGGATAGTCATGATAGCTGTTGGATGGGCCCGAGGTAATATTTATAATATGTGTTTGTAAGTACTCTGTTATTGCTGTACTGTAACTCCTAAATACCTCTCTGCTTACAGGATCACATACCTTTGGGATCACATTTTTTTTTTTTTAAAAGTGGAATCCTTGTCTTTTTAGCCCCTAAAATTAATTTAAAAGTTACTTACATCAGTATTAGTGATCACCTGTTGTTTTGAGCCTGATGGCCTTGGTAAAGTTTCTTATGAATAATTGCTTTAGGTTTCCCTGAACCATATGGAATCATAATTATTTTGCCATAAATGAAATAAGTTTAATAAGAAATTTTGTGGCTCATATAAATTAAAAAACATTGCTGAGACTGGGCATGGTAGTGCACACCTATAATCTAAGTACTTGGGAGGCTGAGGCAAGAAGTCACAAGTCTGAAATGCTATATAGTAATTTCTAAACCAGCCTAGGCTACCATAAGAAGACCCTGTCTAAAAATGAAAACAAATTGCATTATATTCTTTCCATTCTTGTGAGTTGCTGGAAATAACAAATATTCATATTCACACTGTTCTAATTGCTTTGTATTTATTTTATTCTCTCTTTCTCTAGAGACTAGGTAGACTATGTAGTGGAGGATGACCATGAACTTGTGACCATACTGCCTCTCCCTCCTGAGTGCTGGATCACAGGAAAGCACTAGCATGCCTGGTTTATGCATTGTCCGGGGTTGGTGCATGCTAGGCAAGTGCTCCTACCAACTGAGCTATGTCACTAACCCCGTTGTTTTATATGTAAGAATTGAACGGATTTCTGTAACCTCTGTTACAGTATGCTGCACCCAAAACTGACCATATCAAGGAAAGAACTAGAAAGAGAGGATCTTACTTTTCACAAAGCAAGTCTATATATACATCTCTGTGCTTGAGACCCCAGCGTTAACCTTAGATCACAGTAAGTTGTCATGCTGGGGTGAGAGAATTCCATTGTCTCAGATCTCAGTGCACAGAAGACAACTTTTCCTTCCTCTCAGGAATCCTATTTTGGTAATCCTGGGTTTTAAACCAGGAGGTGAAATTCTGACTTTCCCTGCCATGTATTTTTTTTTAAAGTAAATTGGTTCAATATTTTTGTTTCTTTTTTTCTTTTCTTTCTTTTTTTAGGGGCAGGTGGTGTTATCGTCACATCTTGTGTAGAATTGCTAAAAGGAGATTGGAAACCAGAAGGTGATGAGTGGCTGAAGTTGTCCTTGTAAGTGGTGTAGATTATACTGAGATCTGGGCTTACAGCCTTAGATGCTATTCAACTCCCTTAAAAAGAACATTTCTGAATCTGTGTATGTGGCTGAAATATACCTGAGAAACAAATGGCAAGCACAATGGGAAGAAAAACGGCAGATTCATTATAATAGTTTACTTTCCCAGATGAGATATTAAAGTAAACATCAATTTTCTGTGGATTCCCCTCCTTTATAAAGAAAGCTTGGAGACTGGAGAACTGTCTCAGTGGCTAAGATCACTTGCTGCTCTTACAGAGGACCTGGGTTTAGTTCCATGTGACATCTCAAAATGTTTTGTAACTCCGGTTCCAATGGATATGATGTCCTCTTCTGGCCTCTGTAGATACCAGGCACACATGGTACACAGTAAATATACACATGAAAGTACCCATACATATCATAACAAGAACACTTACTTAGACATACAATGTGTACTTGTTGTACCTCATATGCAGATCCTGGCCTTTTGTATATATGATGTGTGGGTATGAGTAGGGAATAAATAAGTTCTGAAACTAGGAAGGATACCAAGAAAAGAGAATCGTACTTTTGAGGAGAGAGTAGGGAGCATGATAGGTCGAGCTCACAGGCTATAGTTGAAGTACAGAGGCCAGAGCCATGTTGTATGAGCTTAGGGCCTGGTACCTGCAGCCATAGCCCTAAAATCCCAGTGGAACTTACCTGCTGCATTTTGAAATGTCTTGGTGCCAGGGATCTCTCCTTTCCCTTTGGAAGGGGAGTGCCTGTTGCCTCATCTGTTCCACCATTGCGTTTTAGAATGAGACATGATAGAATTTTTCAGTGCTTCTCAATCTTCATAACAAATCTAATACTTTGATTTAAATCTTCTCCAATGTCCTTTCCCAGTTATCTACAAACTGCTTATTTTTTAGAGTCACTCTTTAAGAAAACATAACCCCAAATGGTCCATGTGTATGTCAAAGCCCTTTCATTAATGAGCTACTTTAGCGAAGGAACCAACCAATTAGAGCAACAAAATAACACCAACATAAATCTACTTCCATGGCAGGGGCAGGGGTGGGGGTGTGGGGTGTGGGGTGTGTGGTGGTGTGTGGTGGTGGTGTCATATGTGTGTATGTGTGTATGTGTATTCACATGTATGGGCTCGTGTATACTGTGCATGTTTGTGCTAATGTCAGATGTTTTCATTAATATGTCTCCACCTTGTTTATTGAGGTGAGGTCTTTCATGAAGATATAGCTCAATATTTCAGGCATCCTGGCTACCCAACTTGCCCCAGGGAATTCCCTGCCTGCCTTCTGTGCACTGAGGTTGCTGGCGGCCTTTTATAGGTCCTAGGGATCCAATGTGGCATTCACATTCTGCCAAGTGCTTTATTCACTGATCCATTTCCACAGCCCCTTGTTTGCCTTCTATTTTATACTTTTAAATGTCCAATTTTGTGTACATTTTATAACATAGTTAAACATATATAAACTGATAAATATATTAATATTAATATTTGTCCCAAAATATTAAAAACAATAGGAATAAACAGTAAAGTTGAGAAATCACTATTACAATGATTACAATAATATTGTAATTGAGAAATTACTATTACAATAATAATGATTATTATTAAATTATATTATTATGTGAAGTCTGGATCTTATAATGTTTTGCACCCAATCTTTCCTTTGTAATACTTAAATAACCTTTAAAAAACAATCTGGCTTATAAAAATCTTCTGTCATTTTTGTAGTGCAGCATTCTTTTTTTTAAAGATTTATTTATTATGTGTACAGTGTTCGGCACCAAATCTCATTACAGATGGTTGTGAGCCACCATGTGGTTACTGGGAATTGAACTCAGGACCTTTGGAAGAGCAGCAGGCAGTGCTCTTAACCACTGAGCCATTCTCCAGCCCAGTAGTGCAGCATTCTTATAGTTTACCAGGGATCTTTACTGAGATACCTTAAGTACATGGTAAGTGTGTAAGATAAAAATACTGCTGCTGATTTGGAAGGTTATTAGTTTAGTGATTTCATAATTTCAGCATTAATACTAAAGATATTGGCAAAGACTGACCTGCTGTGCTCAAGGTAGCTAAGTGATATACTAGAGGTGGCTCACAGGGTCTCACTCTGTAGCCTAGGCTGTCGTTCAACTCACAAATATCCATCTGCCTTTGCCTCCCGAGTACTGGCATTAAAGGTTTGTGTCACCATGTCTAGCTCATACTGCTTTCTGAGAGCGACTGTGTGCATCTTCCTCTCCATTCTCCACAGCATCCTGAAATTGTCCTGTGGTGGCATTTACATCATGGGACAGGAAAGGCTTTCCCCCACTTCTCTCATCTGTCTTGGGGCTTGTTTATCATGGATGGCTTTTCAGGATTAATTTTTTATTTGTGGTGGGGCATGAAACCTTTGAGTCCTTTAAAAAAAAGCGTTAGATGGACAAATATGTTTCTGAAACATTGCACTATGGAAACATTTGCACATTCTAAAAAGTCTTAGACCTGAAGGCTTAGCTCAGTGGTCAAGAATGCTTGCTGCTTATCTTAGTTAGGGTTGTGATTGCTGATGAAACACTATGTCCAAGGAAACTTGGGGGAAGAAAGAGTTTATTTGGTTTGCACTTCCATAGTACTGGTCATCATCAAAGGAAGTCAGGGCAGGGACTCAAATAGGGCAGGAATGTGAAGGCAGGAGCTGATGCAGAGGCCATGGAGGGATGCTATTTACTCTTGCTTCCCCTGGCTTGTTCAGACTGCTTTCTTAAAGAACCCAGGACTACTGGGCCCTGAATGGCATCACTCACAGTGGGCTGGGCCCTCCTCCATCAATCACTAATTGATAAAATGCCCTCCGGCAGGATCTCAAGGAGGCATTTTCTCATCTGAGTTCCCCTCTGTTCAGATAGCTCTAGCTTGTGTCAAGTTGACATAGAGCTAGCCAGACAGTGATCTTCCAGAGGGGCTGGCTGCTCGAAAGTGCCTGCAGCTCTGTTCTGATGTCCTCTTCTGGCCTCTGCAAGTCACACACACAAAGTCTGTAAAAAAGCAAAAACTACCTCTCAATTCTTATGTTATGAGGAAAGGTTTTAAAGTTTACATAACTCGGCATTTCTGAAACTTTAAAAATATATTCACCCAGCTCATTTTGTGTCAGCAGTCCATCAAGTTGATGCTTACAGAGCACTCTGAAAAAATTGTAGGCAGAGTATGTTTCTCACTGACTTCGAGTGTTATTTCCTTTCAGCCCTTCCAAGGTAACACTGCTGGGGTCAATCATCTTCACTTTACAGCACACCAATCATCTGGCAATGTCAAAGCATGATCTCATGTTCCTTTATACCATCTTTCTCGTGACCATAAAGGTAAGAAGGTTCCAGGTCCTCCAGTCAGCATTACAAATCCCGTATAAGCCTTTTCCTTTGATGGGGTCCTTCAGGCTAAGCTAGTACCAAACACGCTTGCTTTTTATATTGTTGATACAAAAAGATGACTTTGGGAGAGTTTGCTCTATGCATCAGAATTTTCAGAAGCTCTTCCACTGTTCTTCATTTGCCATCAGGTTTACTGTTGGACAGGATAGGCAGGTGGCTCATGGGAAGCCAGGGAGCAGTGGAGGTAGGGAGGGAATCAGAGGCTGCATAGGTAGGCCTGCCTTGTTTGTAAAATTTGGGTACAGTTGAAGTTGATACACCTTTTTGTTTTTGTGGAGAATAATATGTTCTTAAGTTTGGAGGTGGAGTAAGTTACACATATTTGTAAATATGCTTGCCTATTCTGGTTTGAATATATAAAAGCTAAGTTTTTCCCACCTCTACCTATGGTTCTCTTCTTTCTTGAGAGAAATATGTGAAATATCTCCCTTTTCCTCCTTTGCTTTTTCCATCTCTTCCCTACAATTTTCTTTTCTTCTTTTCTCCCAGAACTCAGGCAAGCTGAACATTCATCCATATTCAAACAGTTTCATTAAAGGGGAGGTCACATACTTTTATAATTCTCTCAAATACTTTATGATTGCTAAAATATGAGCCACAGGGAATCAAAATAAATGGGAAAGATCACCAGCAGAGGAGAGAGCCCTTGAGCATTGTAGACGCACAGACTTGTGTTGAAATGGAGGCTTTGCAATTTTGAACAAGTCTGTGTTCCTTGAACTAGGCTTACACATGTCCCAAAGGATATATGGCTTCTGGCATTGTTTGTAAAAAGTAATATTATAGGTGTGATATATTTTCTACCATTAATTGATCTCAATGGTAATTAATTTTAAACATGTGAAATAGGAATGTATTATTGGATAAAATTCTCATAGGCTTAAATTTTTTAAATTATTTTATTTTATATGTATGTGTTTTGCCTGCATATATGTTTGTGCCTTCTGTGCCTTAGGGAAATAGTCCACAGCTTCTGAACATCCGCAACTGTGGACAAAACTGTGCTGTTAATGCATCCTGCTTACCACTTAAGTAGCCTTTTAGTTTGGGGCAAGTTATCTACCTGTCAGAGCTGTGACTCTTCTCCGCTCTGTGGTGAAGGCAGCAGTGATTGTTGTATTAAATTGAAAGTGGAGATGAGTATAATGTATTTACCACAGTTCTGATACAAGCCAGATGTGTAGTAATGACAGCTGTATTGGTTGCTGGTGTAGAATGTAGATAATATTATATCTTATTTCCTTTGACTTCTCCCCCCTCCTTTCTTCCTTCCTTTCTTTTTGTAGCAATGGTTACACTTCATTTGTTGTACAAGGTTTACTTGTACCTGGTTTACTTTTGATGAATAATATCCTTTAAATTCATAGAGTCAGTGATTTTCCCAGAATTTTCATGTAGATTAAATACAAAGTACATTTGACTCTCTTTGCCCATTATTTGTTTTTCCGTCTCAGCTTTGAGAAACACAAAGTGTTTGTACTGAAATTCAGTTAATTTTTCCTAGCTAACCATGATGATAACAAAGGACACCACTGTGACTCTTGCTCCCTTTGAGGACACCTTGAACCGGATGCTGTTTGGCTGGCAGCAGCAGTTTTCACTGAGTGAAAAGAAACTGGAATCGAAACTGTCTTCCAATGGCACTGCCTCGTCAGGGTCCAAGGTCACCACAGAGGATTCGGGCTCTTCGGAGAGGCATGCCAAGAAAGAAGACTGACAATTTTATCTGTGCTTGGGAGGCAAAAAGGGAGAGTTACTTATTTATAGGGTGTGGTGGTATTTCTATGTAAATGATGTGAAATAAGCCTATCTGTAAGGATAGAGGAGACAAAAAGGAAGAAACGCCTTATTTCAGGGACACCGCTCTGTTAATTGTTAACTCTTGGAGTCACGAGTGGATCATGTGAATTTATTTTTCTGGTATAAGAGATTCTCCTAATTACTTGAATAGTTTTATATTGATAAAATGATAATTTTTCAAATGTTAGAAAAAGTTCACTTGTTACTGCAAAATTCTAAGGCTTTAACACTTCTAAAATTCAGTGGTTTTTTTCACTTTTTGAATGATTCTAATTGTGTTTTAATTCTGCAGAATTAAACTTTTACTTCATATTTCCAGTATAATTCCTGTATATAGAAGACAATTCCTATTTAATTTTGAACATGGAGAACTTTTCCTAAATAATTTTTAACTGCAAATAAACTGATAGTGTATATTTGGTGTATAAATTTGTTTTTATACCTTACCCACATTAAAAATACCTGAAATTTAATTTATTTTAGTTTCAAGTATTATTTTTCAGTGAGTTAATTTGAGTCTCAGTTTGAAGTGTTTTTCATGCTCTTGTTTTAAAAACTACTTTTTCCTCAGAAAAACAGGGTTACAATCTGTGTGTATCTTTTTCTTTCTGCAAAACTAGACTCTCTCACTCTGTAGCCCTAGGCTGGCCTCAGATATCATCCTACCTCTGCCTCCCAAGTACTGGGATTACGGGCACGGGCCACCATGCCAGGCTAGGGGTGAGGTTTTTGGTTGTTAGTAATCCTTTGTTTTATCGTGTGTTTGGAACTGGGTTGTCTCTGTCCTTTCCCCATGTCAACAAGTGGAGAGATTTCACGTATCAATGTTCCTCCTGAATCACTTGTTCTGAATATGCTGGTGCATGTCTCAGTGACTCAACAAAAAGTACTATCACAGCTGAAAACCTCTCCGTCTGTTCCTCTCTTCTAGTGAGCACTGCTTCAGGGCTTCATTTGACTATCTCTTGTGAGTTCACATATGGGTATCTTTGTTTAATAGACATGCACACGCATTGTAAGTTCTATCTTAAATGAAAACTGCTTTTATGTGGAAATGCTCAGCCCTCATGAGAATTGCCTTTGCACACGTGATCTGAACCGTGGAGCCTAGCCTCACGTAGACTGCTTGAGTGTGGCCATACAACATTAAATCTGGTTTCTCGTTGACAAAATAAAAATCAAACAAGGAAATGTACTGCATGATAGATTTATTTGCTTTATTTGGTGTTAAAAGTCTTGTTATAACTTTACAATTCTGTGGTATGACTTTATACCAAGAATAGGAACCTGCCACCTATATTAGAAATTTCTGGTTGGCTGAGAAGCACTTAAATGACATTCAAGATGTAAAATTTTCCTTTTAATCTTTAACAAATATGCACATTGGCAGGTTTTATACTTTTTCTGCTAAAAAAAGGATTGGGGTGGGACACTTTTGATAACCTTAGTATTAGAAAATGCTTATTTTTAACATTGTGACGGAAAGCACTAAATTGAATTCTGTATTATATATTTGATAATCTGTAGTCAAAAACTTTGCCAAATGAACATGTTATTATTGGTCAGTTCTGAAGTTTGAATTTAGCTGTAGTTACAGTAGAATCTTGTTTTACATTTGTGTTAAAAACAAATTCATTAAAATAAGTACGTTAGCACTAGAGGAGTATGCCTTGTTTTTCTTTTGTATTGTTTGGAGGAAGGTGTTTGGAGTCCCGTGTTGTTTTTTTCTCTATAATACACTTAGTGAGCACAGTTTGAAGGGGACATGGTACAGACTTCATTAGGCTACGCAGATATCCTAGGCCCCTCAGTTCAGGGTTCTTAGCTCTACTGAGAATGTGGATTAGGCTTGAAACTCCCTGCCCTGAATCTGCTCAGGTGACCAGGAGACCATCTCCTTATTCCTTAACTACCAGGGATTGTGGCTGTGGTCCATAGGCCCACTTCACACAGTCCAATCAGAGGTGACCCTGAATGATGGCAGGACCTGGTAGGCTTTAAAAACAAAAACAGTAGAGAGAGTCAGGAAAGCTGCAAGAACACAGGCCCCTGACTGCCATGATCCAGCCTACAGCAGAATGTGCTGAATAGTTCCAAACTGAGCTACCAGATTCTTTGCCCACAAAGGAAGGGAGAAAGACCAGATTCGTGGGGTCGATGGATTTCAGTGGGAGTTCTGACCAGTGGGATAACCTAAAAAGAGGTGAGAGCGGTGAAGTGGGGAGATGCTTGTGTGTGTAGCTTTTGTCTGCTGCAGCCGAACCACTTTTTCAATTAAGATATGCTTAATGAAAATATAAAGGAAAACATCCATTTCAAGCGTCAAGTTGTTGCAAGTGAGAGAAATGTTAGAAACCGAATTGTGTTTAAAAATGTTTTGGGAAGAGGAAGCAGAAAGACTGTAAAAGCCAGAGAGGATGGATGACAGAACATGACAGACACACATATGAATTCAGAGACTGGCAGCATGCAGAGGGCCTGCAGAGGTCTAAGCCACGTGGGATCCCGGTGCCAAGAGGGGAAGTAGACATAAGGTTCCATCCCTAACTCAGAGCCTGTCTCCATTTGACAACCGCTTGCAAAAGAAAACTTAGTTTTAGCCAATGGAGTCCCACTGGATATACAAAACACACTTAAGGGCAGGCCCCATGCCAAGAATAGATGGCCAACACAAACTCAATGGTATTTTGGGAGATTTTATTTTATTTTGTCTCATATTGCCTTCTTTAGTCTTTTTTTTTCCCCTTACTGGTCTTTTGCTTGTATATTATGGTTTCTGATTTTGTGTTTTTAAGGTGTGTGTGTGTATGTGTGTGTGTGGTGTGTGTATGTGTGTGTGTGTGTGTGTGTGTGGTGTGTGTGTGTGTGTGTGTGTGTGTGTGTGTGTGTTTCTTGTGGTTTTTCTTTCCTTTTTTCCTTTTTTCTGTTTTTTTTTTGTTTTTTTTTTTTTCTGGCTATTTCTCTTCTAAAGACAGAAAGAAGATACGTTGGGAGAGTGGTGATGTAGGGAGGTTTTGGGAGGAGATGAGGGAGGAGAAACTGATCAGAATTTATTATATGAAAAAAATTATTTTTAATAAAAATAAATAAAAATGCTTCCCCTGGCACAAAGCCCTTTATGGTGTTTGCCCCAAGTATAAGTCATATTTTAGGCATATTTGTTTGTTTATTCAACAAATATTAAGTGCCAGCTTAGATCAAGTCACCGAGATTCTGAAGATACAGAGCATAAGAAGACACCTGCTGCCATGGAGTTTACATTCTAGTGGTAGAGAAAGGAAACAACATGTGTTCCCGTGGGGATAAACATAATGAAGGGATATTAGGCAGGACTTATAGGTTGTCTGTTAGAATGAAACTGTTAGAACTGCTTCCTAACTGAGGGTACCATGGAGCAAGGCAAGCACTCACAGTTTTTTCATTAACTCAATTTACTGAATTTATTTTTCTTAATAAGACAATTCCACTGTGTTATTTAAAATAGCTGATGCTTTTTTTTTTAAATAAGTATTTACTAATCCAGGCTAGCCCGGAACTTGTGATGTAGTGCAGGCTGTCCTTAACTCCAGATCCTCGCATCCTTGTCTCTGGTGCACTCTGATTGCAGGCATATGCAGCTATGCTTACCTAACACAATTTATTCTTACTGTCCATTTAAAAAACAAAATTTGCATTCAATAAAATGCACAATTTGCAAGTGCCCATGCACTATTGGATTTCTCCCTGAGTCTGTACAGTTGTGCATGTGGAGGGTCTCTCACTTCACCTGGACTTCGCTGGCGTGACTACACTGTTCAGTGAGCCTCAGGGCTTCTCCTGTGATCCCTGTGTGCACACTGCAGTTCTTTACATAGGTGTTGGAGATACAAACGGCACACACTGTATCAGTGGAGCCATCTCAGCCCCTTAAACTGAGTCTAAGCAAATGCCAATGACTGTGTACTCCTAACCCAAAATTGAGTATTACAAGGGCCCCAGGGAATTAATAACCAGTTAATGCCACACCCCCTATGGGACATAATATGAAGGAAATGTGCTAGATTCTCTTTCACGTAGATTTCTTAGAAACAACAGGTTTCTAGATGTACCTTGTGTTTGTCAGTAGTTCCTTTTTAGTTGCTTCATAGTGTTCTACTGTTCTACTGTGCAGTGGTGCAGTCCCCCTACTGATGCATGTTGGGGCTGTTTCTAACTTGGGTTGTTTTAAATAATTAAGAACATTTTTGCACAACTCTTGTTAAATATGATTTTCTTTTTGATAAATAATTAGAAGGAGGTGTGGTGGGTCATGTTTGGTTTTATTAAAAATCAAACAAAAACAACTTGCCGTGTGCTTTTCCAAAATGTTTACACCATTTAATGCTCCACAACAGTGTCTGGATAGGTGTTCTAGTGGATCTGTGTCCTTAGCAAGGGTGGGAGCATCAACATTCAATGTTGCCCATTTCCAGTGGATGCTTGTTGGAGTTTGGGGCTTTTTTTGCCCTGATGATGAATGATGTGGGTTACTTAGTGTGTACTGGGCCCCTGACTGCCTTCCTCCCAATTATCTGTTCAGATCTCTGCCCATATAAATCAGAACTTTCTTCCTATTGTAGAAATTCATTCTATATCCCAGGTTAATCCTGTATATACTCTTTCTGGTCTGTTACCTAACCCACTTACATTTATTTCATGAACAGATCTTCCCTCCCTCCTTCCCTCTCTCCCTCCCTCCTTCTCTCCCTCCCTCCTTCCCTCCCTCTTTCCCTCCCTCCCTCCCTCCCTCCCTTTCTTTTTTAAAGATAGTTTTTCTCTGTGTAGCTCTGGCTGGCCTGGAACTCACTTTGTAGACCAGGCTGACTTTGAACTTAGAGATCCACCTGCCTCTGTCTTCTGTGTGTTGGGATTAAAGATGTACACCTGGCTCCAGATTTAAAAACCTTAAAGACAACTAATTTCTTAGCATTTTCTTTTTGTTGTTATTGCTCTTTCTGACTTGGTTCACGAAATCACATGCCAGTCCAAAGAACCCAAGTAACAGTCTCTAGAGCAGGGGTTCTCAACCTGTGGGTCACGACCCCTTTGAGGTCATATATCAGCTATCCTGCATATCAGATATTTACATTACAATTTATAACAGTAGCAGAATTACAGTTATGAAGTAGCAACGAAATAATTTTAATGGTTGGGGGTCACCACAATGTGAGGAACTCTATTAAGGGTTTGCAGTGTTAGGAAGGTTGAGAACCACTGCTCTAAAGAAACATTAACAATAAACACTTTATGTCGCTATGCATGGCAGGAATTCTGTTCCTCTGGGATTGGCTCATGTCTCACTGTTGCCTCTGTATATGTTTTGTAAGTTGCCGATTTCCCTGTGTTTGTGTTATGTATCACAAGACAGAAGTTCAATGGCTCTGTCTTCTCTTAGAAACCCCTCCCACTTGTGAAAGTTTCTCCCCTTTCCCTCAAGTTCTCATTTTTCTAGAAATCTTAAAAAGCTTGCTTCTACTTTTCATACATCAATGAGAGTCCACATCTTTAATTTTCACTAATATGAGATAGTGAACTTGGAGCTACTGCCTCAGGTTGACCTTAAGTGACAGTTGAATGCCTGACATTTTAAGGACCTTGAGTTATGCATAACTGGGTTGTGAAAGGTCACTTTGTACTTTATAATATGCTTTGAAAATGACGTGTAAGATTTTTTTTTTGAATCACATTGGGTCTCTTGGTAATTTTGGGGTTCAGAATTTGGGCACAACAGAGGTAGGAGGATCACAAGTTCAAGGTCAACCAGGGTCACATAGCAAATATTGTCAAACAGACAAAATTCCTATAATTTAACCAGCCTTTAAAATGGGCAGAGGATTTGAACAGACATTTTCCTGGAGAATACACACAATTAGCCAACAAGCATATTCAGTATATTGAATTTCATTGCTCATCATTTCCCTGATGAGGAAATGCAAATTAAGTCCCTAATGGCTATGCTTTTTTAATTTAGAGAGTACTTTATTAGTTTTTGTAATCAAACCCATGTAGATAAGACCTTACATATTTAACACAGTGTGTTACCCCTGTACAAATGGAAAAAAATTAAGTTCAACATTTCTAGTCCAATATGGCTGGAAAATAACGTGTAAGATTTAAAAACATGATTTTGTAGTGAGAGGTTAAGTTAACCAATGGTTAGAATCAAGCTGTATTTAAGCTCATATAATGTGCCCTTTGCATCAGATACTTGAGTCTCGCAAGTGAGTTGGGAACTTCAGAAGTTGTGCCCTTTGTTATACTATTGCACATTTTATCATGATTATTCTGATATGCTGTGGTGATGGTCTGCTAATAGAGGTTCTCTAGGGTATTCTGACTGACACATTCAATGATTCTATCATTTTAATCACATGTTACTATCATAGTTACATTCCATGTTTGATCTTTCATGTTCTCAGTTGGATACAAGTCTCAAAAGCTCACATTATTCTTCCCTGTAATTGTTCAATGTATATTGCCATGAATTTGCGGTGATTAAATCTATTAGATAGAACCTTGGAAGCTCCTGTCTCTCTCCTTCTGACCTGGTTTGTATATCCAAGGAGCTTCAGGTTTGGTCCAGTCTCCTTGTCCTGACTCAAGGACCTTTCTGTATGGCTCACAGTAAAGGATAAACATCAC